ATCAACTGCGGGCGGCAGATCCTTTTCCTATTTAGCGCCCAAACTCTGGAATAATCTACCTAACATTGTTTGGGAGGCAGACACACTCTGTCAGTTTAAATCTAGATTAAAAACCCATCTTTTTAACCTGGTTTACACATAACACACTAACACATTTCTAATATTCAAATCCGTTAAAGGATTTTTAGGACGCATTAATTATGACAACCGGAACCGGGAACACGTCCCATAACACCCGATGTACTTGCTATATCGTTAGAAGAATGGAATCTATGCTAATTTTAGTCTGTTTCTGTCTTTTTCCGAGGTCACCGTATCCACCAGATCCAGTCTGTATCCAGATCAGATGGTGGTACAATTCTACACTTATTTTCACATAGCTATGAGAAGCATTAAACATGGACGCACGTGCAGTTGCCGTACTGTATTAAAGCTTTAATCAGGATAAAACTGTATATTAAAGGCGGATGCATTGATTAGACGCGCACTAGAGGCGGTTTATCACAACACACTGGGCTAGCTAACCAATCAGAGCCCGTCGCCTATTTTACTATTGTCATTTTGCATTATTGACACACTATTTTCGTATTTAATACTGTAAAGTTGCTTTGACAATCTGTATTGTTAAAAGTGCTATATAAATAAAGGTGACTTGACTTGACTTGATGTGGTAAAGGAAAGTGTGTCAGGAGTACAGACGGGTTAATGGTTGTTCCACCAGAGGTACACACAGAGGAGCTTGTAATTGGGATGGAAACCCGTAAGAGGTTAATGAACTGTCATTGGCTTTCGCCCTATGATAATGAGCTGAATGTCATATAGATGTCTCCAGGACGGAGGGGATGGGCGCACAACATGGGGGAGGAGGGCTGATATCCTGATTCAGACCCAAAGCCTGAGCTCAACAGCAGGGAATGGGGGATGGGTGTGTGTGAAACACTGAATGGGTAAAAGCCCTAGTAGCTCCTTTTCGTTTTTCCCTCAAGGGTTAAAAAAGAAAAAGAAAAGAAAAGAGAAGGTTTGAAATAACCAGGTAAGGGTATATAGGGAATTAGTGCTGTGGTCTATCCTTTCAATAACACAAACATAAAAATGACTATGGGAGAAGAGTGCAGTAAAGAAAGCTGGTTTCTCGGATCATATGGAATACAGAAATGTTTG